TGTATTGTCTTGATTTAGATATCAGCATCTTTAACCAAGCATTCAAACTCAATAAAACAGATACTTTAACTTTAAAACTATACATTTCCAATTTCCAAATATTCTAAATATGTTATGTTACGATGTTTATTATTCACATCTTATTGGATACAGTGAAATTTGTTCAACATTTCAAAACTTCATGAACAAAGCTTTTAATCTCACTCGCATTTTTCTCAAACAAAATTTTTCGTGTACACTTAATATCTGCAACTCATTCAATTTTGTAGAAAATTCAGAAATATTTTCTTACCAATTATGGGTTTAGAATTTGTACATAATATCATGACACTTTCAAAACTTTCATGTCTAGCTTTAATTTCTTAAAAATTATTTAATGTAATGTTGAACCACTTTAGTCTACTGAATAACATTAGTTTTATCTCTTATTTTAAGCTCATACTACATATAGTTAATAGTAGCTTCCGTATATGGTATAAAATTACCTCATTAGTGTATGCTTATTTCTTTAATTTTTATATTTATGATTGTAGTAACTTCATTTTCCAATTATTATTATTATTATTGGGCTTTCTCGAATTTCATCGTGTTCAGTTTTCGGTTGTTTTAGATGGTTTAACGTTATTACTTCCTGTTGACGACTCCAGGTGTTTTGCTAAATGACAGAGGTTAGCAAAGTTTTGTTTGTTTGAAGTTAAGCACAAAGCTACACAATGGGCTATCTGTGCTCTGCCCACCACGAGTATCGAAACCCGGTTTCTAGCGCTGTAAATCCGCTGTGCCACTGAGGTGGGGGTGGGGGCAGGTTAAGAAATTAATATTAGCTGTGTTAGACGTATCTCGAAGTATGTTTAGTATATTATTTCTTTATTACATATAACATTGTCTAATTTTAATTATAATATAAATATTTTAACTAATCACTATACGATTTACGTGGTCATTTAATATGTTATTTTTTTTTATCTTCTCAAGCATTGCATTTTGGCTGTATTATTGATAATATTTACCTCAACACCTAAACAGTAACGTGCCATAGCAATTTAACTCGCATATCAGGATCTTCTACAATTACACTGTCTGAACCGTTTAATAAGTTTTCTTTAGTTATACTATGTTTCAGGGAAAATTGTGGAAAGTTTTTTTGTTAAGGGCGAGGGTACTCAACTGATGAAGGATTGTATGCTAATCGTTATAAGATTGGTTTGGTTTGGTTTGTTTTGAATTTCGCGCAAAGCTACACGAGGGCTATCTGCGCTAGCCGTCCCTAATTTAGCAGTGTAAGACTAGAGGGAAGGCAGCTAGTCATCACCACCCACCGCCAACTCTTGGGCTACTCTTTTACCAACGAATAATGGGATTGACCGTCACATTATAACGCCCCCACGGCTGAAAGGGCGAGCATGTTTGGTGTGACGGGGATTCGAACCCACGACCCTGAGATTGCGAGTCGAGCTCCCTAACCACCTGGCCATGCCGGGCCTCATTATAAGAAAAAACGTAATTAAAGTATACTTAAATAGCTATACATATTACCATTTGACTTTTAGCTTAGATATTGGTAGGTAGGAAGATGTATTCAGATCGGGGATTTAGAATTTCCAAGAGGTTGGGATGTCTTTTTACTTATCACCATTGAATACAACGAAAGTGGATAAACTTAGGACACCAAGACCATCAAGTAAGGAAACTACAACATGTCATACACCAGTCCTGGTAAGTAAAGTATGACATCTTGTAAAATATGAAGAGCCACGTAAAAAGTTGAGTGACAAAAGCTGTCTTTGTCCAAAGCAACAGGATGCAAAACAACAGAGAAAGATCATTGTCTGAAAATAAATCTACAAAGGTATGGAGCTCACCAAGTTAAGGCTTCCAATTATACCTCCCTTTGACCCTTCTCATATCTGAAACAGCTGAAGATAAAATGAATATATTCATGCTATCCCATTCGACAAAATGGTGGTCAAGTCACTGAACACAATGCCTATAGATTTCTGTGCAATTATACTGTTAAAACAAGTTCTGGGAAATCGTCATTCCTGTATTCAAGTTGGATTATAGAAAGCACCAAGAGAGATTAGACATAACAGTGCTACTATGGCCATCCTACAGAGCATAATCAGACTTTGCGATATACGATGTCAAAATGAATATAAAGCATATTAGACAGGAAATTATCTGTATCTTATTTCTTAGTTTATTACCTATTTGGCTCTAAGAAAAAATCTCATTATGAACTGCTTTATAATTTTATTACTCTAATTAAGCTTCACAAGAAAGATCCTTAGTTTGTGAATTTATACAATGTAGAGAACTTTTGTATCTAAAATCTGCATTTTTACATGGATATGTGTGTCATTTTATTTATACTCATACTTTTTTATTTGCATAAAAAGTGTAGTTTTTCAATGGCAATTATTTCTCTCGTTTTTCTAACACACTAGGATCACAAGAAGACGTTCTGCTTTTCCCCAAGACTTTAACAGTAACATTACTAACAACTCATTGTCATGTATATTCTGGCAGCACATCAAATATAACAATATCTTCCAGAGAAAAATCCTCACAAGTTAGTGATACATCACTTAAAAGCAACGCTTCCAGTGGTTCTATATCAAATATATCTGTGTTTTATGGAATTCCATATGTCCCACCTGTGTCTACAGTTGATTCTTCTATAAAAACAACAACCACCTTTACAGAAAATTCTACATTAAACGAAAACATACCACCAATTGAACCTGACTTCCCAAGAGACGGATTACAAATTAGGCCTGTGTTTTTCGGAATGCCACATCTCCCACCTGTGTCTACAGTTGATTCTTCTATAAATACAACAACCACCTTTACAGAAAATTCTACATTAAACGAAAACATGCCACCAATTAAACCTGTCTTCCCAAGAGAAAGATTACGAATTAGGCCTGTGTTTTTCGGAATGCCACATCTCCCACCTGTGTCTACAGTTGATTCTTCTATAAATACAACAGCCACCTTTACAGAAAATTCTACATTAAACGAAAATATACCACCAATTAAACCTGACTCCTCAAGAGAACATTTACCAAATACGCAAGTGCTTTTTGGAATGCCGTATGCCCTAAGAATTTCTGCAGATATGTCTTTGTCTACAAATACATCAACTACCCCGATACAAAATGCTACTTCTTCAAATACAATAACCAGCTTAATACAAAATACTAGATTAACTAGTAACTCGTCATCACTTAAATCCGTAGCAGAGGAGGATTTTGCAAATTTGGACCATCATTCTGAACCAATGCCAATTTATTCTTCAAATGGATCATTGACATATAATACTCCAAGAAAGAGAGTTCTTGAAAATGACATTCCAGTATTAAGCAAGATAGTAACATTTCTGTTACATTTACCTCTGAATGTTCTGACGCATTCATCAAATACATCTTCAAACTTTGGTACTAATAGTATTCATTCAAATTATGGTTATCAAGATAATGTTTCAATAGTAAAAGGACCAGTGGAGCTAGCTCTAACTAAATTGCCTTTACCAAATGCTTTCTTTGATTTAACCACATCAAAAAGTATAGCTTGTGTTCAGGATGGTAATTGTGAAACAATGTTAGAGAAGTCAGTTTCTCACAAACTGTTTAGACCCCAATATTCAAATCGTTTAACTAGCTCTGGTGACTTCCAGTCTCATTATGAAAGGTGAGTTATTAACAGTCCATAATCAAATGCAACTAATTTCCTTATAGAGTTTGTATTTATTAAAGTTATCATGAAATAATCTGAAAATTGTGTTAGCACTAACTTGCTACTATGCTATTAATTCACACACACACACACACACACACACTCTCTCTCTCTCTCTCAATAAATAAAACAAAATACCAAATTTAATACATATCATATACCATATTCTTCAGCAATGAAACATATGAACCAAACATTTAATGATTTTAACTGTTGATTCTGTAATATTGTGATTTTCAATTAATATTTCTCACGGTTTATGAGATGTAAAGGGACATGACATTAGAAACTAAATTTTTATACCTTCATGATGCTATTTCTTCTCAGAGCTATCCAACTCATTTTCGAAAGATTTCTATATCAGTGATGCTTTAAAACTTTTAAAAGATGTAGCCAATTTAAAATTCATAGGCAGTTGTGTAAATGTTCAATATGTGTTGGATATATAAGTTTGTTTAGTATAAGTGATATTATTTAGGTTATTTTGTGACTTAATATTTAATGATTGTTTAGTTTTCATGACAGAACTGTTGACGGATGATTGTTTTAAAAAGCGTTAGTTATGACAAGTTTCGTAGATTGGTTCGAGTCGTTCGTTGTGTATGCAGTTTCATTGTTCTAGTGTTGTTGACGTATTATCGATGCCTATCAGTTTTTTTCGCTACGTGAATATTGTTACATCACAGCGTCTCGTAGTTTGTAGTAAAGTTCTAGACCTCATTTGGGAAATGTATATATATATATATATATATATATATAAAGGAGACCAAGTGAGCATAAGTCAAGTTCAGTCAAAAAATAATTAGTTAGTGAAAGTAAACGTGAAGTTAGCCAGTATGTGAGTGATTAACTTTAACGGTGATTTCTATAGTGTGTTTCACAGCTGTATGGTAACAACAGAGATAGGAAAAATAATTTGTCTTGTCAATTGGGTTCTAAAGTAATTGAGCTAGTCTGTGTGGACTATTGACGAAATTTAGAGACAATTATCTAAAGCTCAGGATACAACTATGGTAACAAACAAAATAGGCTTAGTAAACTTTAGCTGTAATGGGCGATATTTAAAGTGAGTTTTACAGTTAACAGAGATAAGGACAAATAATTAATTTTGCCAGAGGTTGTTATAAATTAATTGAACACGACTGTGTGAACTTTGAGAAAAAGGAGACAATTATTTAAAGTTCTGGATACAGCTGTGATAACATACTGGGTAACGTAAGTGAATTTATCGCATATTGTATAGTGAGAAAGACAGATAGAAAAGAATAATTCATCTTGTCATCTGGGTTCTAAAGTAATTGAACTAGCTTATGTCAACTTTTGACAAACAAAGATAATTATTTAAAACTTTAGCTACAACTGTGATAACCAATAGTGTAACGAATTTTTGTATATACATTTGACTTGTTTTAAACATATTATTTTAAAACAAGTGGATTTTCTGCTGTCCGTTTATTGCTTGCATTTATCGTCAACAAGTCCCACAAACCTACTGTAAATAATCCGGCCCTATAAAACTGACAGTATTAAAAACTTACTTTTCAATAAACAGCGATTTATTGTACACATTTCTAAAAATGAGACTGTTCCCAGTCTCAAAAATGCGATAAATTACCAAATAATTTACTGTACAGGATAAAAGAAAAAACTCCGATGAGACTGCAAACAGTATCATACACTCAACATGTTTCGACATGTTACTGTAACATCTTCAGGAGTGTAATGTTTTGCAAGAATCAGACATATTTATAACCATACAAAAATTCACTTCTTATTTCAATAGATTCACGTATATCCATAATATTAGTTCGTCAAGAAATTAATGTCATTTTTTTAGATGAAAAAACCGAACAACTTATATATCAAAACAAAACATTTACTAAATGAAATTGTATTCATTCTATCGATGATGCTTTTCCATCTTACAATCAGGTTGTTAATGCTCTGATTAAAGACATCAC